TGAAATTTATTTTCCATTTTCATTTGTTCCAAAAATTTTTGTTTAAAAATGCATTTTACCAATTTAAAGGGCGTCAAAATAGCTATCGAAAGTATGATATTGAAAAAATTTGCAAAAGAAAAAAATATAATTAAACCAATGGTAAGAAAAAACTATTACCCCCTCCCTCCACAGTAAATATTGATCTAAATGGAAAAATTACCACCCAGATAAAGCATCATTTTTCAAGAAGTTTGTAGCAAGTTTTGGGCATATGCCAAAATGTCGTTTAGTGTCAAGTTTGCCGTGCAATCTTGCAAGAGGTTTGCCATGCAAACTTTCAGGAAAATTGTCATGTAAACTTGCAGTAAGTTCTCACGGTAAACTTGCTGAAAGTTCTCTCGGTAAACTTGCACAAATGTATTGAAAGTTATAGACAAGTTTAACTAAATACCCAAGCAGCACGGTATATCCCCTGAATATCCCTTGAATACCACCGTGGAATATTCCCATGATCTTCCAGGAAAATCAAAATGTCCGCATCATGGGAATATTCCACAGTGACATTCAGGGTACACGGAAAAAAAATTTCTGTAGAATTAACAGAAACTCCTGCGCCATCTACTGATGTTTCTCCAAATAGAGAAATATGTAGAATCATTGGCATTAAAATCTGTTAATTCTACAAGTTTGAGCTACAGTTCTTAAAAACTGTTGAGTGACCAAATTATGTATACTATATATGGGGATAATATATATTTGGTAGAGTATTTCTTATAGGTTATATTCTCCTCCGAATACATTAAATTCGCGGAACATTATTGTATAAATTAGTATAACTTCTATGTAAATAAATTCATCCTTCAATAATTTTCTAACAAAAAAAATGAGGAGCAAGTTTTCAAAACTTATGATAAATCCACTTTTTCTTATGTCGAGAAATTGAAACAAACGACTTTTCTCACTTAATCACTACAGTTAATTTTAAAATAAAAAATTTGTAATAATTTATTTCTATAATAATAATGTTTATATACTTAAGACGTTTCCTTTTTAATTAAACTTTCTTGCCGACACTATGATAATAATAAAAACACTAAATTCGCCTTAACCTCTCGCACTCAATCGTACTCAGCCTTAGTCGAATCACTGCATTGTTTTCGCGCATGCGTTAAATCCTTACAGAAAATATCTGTAGAAGTAACAGATTTAGGAACATGTAAAATCTCTAAATCGATGTTAAAGAATTACCAGAAAAATTTTTTCCGTGTATATTCCAGTGCCATTGAGGGTAATATTAAAGGAATATTCCAGTGATATTGAGGGAATATATTCCACGGTTATATTGAATTTTTTTTAAGTGTTGAAATAATAGAAACACATTTTAAAAAAAAATTCAATGTAACCGAGGAATATTCCCTCAATATCACTGGAATATTTCCACAATATCACCTGAATCTCCCCTTAATGTCACTGGAATATTCCATGAATGTCACCGAGGAATATTCCCTTAATGTCACTGGAATATACCCTGAATGTCACTATGGAATATTCCCATGATGCGGACATTTTGATTTTCCTAGAAGATCATGAGAATATTCCACTGTGGTATTCAACGGATATTCAGGGAATATACCGTGCTGCTTGGGTATTATTAATTGTATATATAATAAAAAGTTAAAAAAAACAATACTACATTATTTCATATTTTGAGAACAATTTTATTCAATAAACTTTTATATGAACAGTACAAATTTTTAAAAAATAAAACAAGTATTATGAAACGTGAATTGAAAAATTTCAGCAAGTTATTTACCATGAGAACTTTCTGCAAGTTTCCATGACAATTTTTCTGAAAGTTTGCAGAGAAATTTTCCTGTAAGTTTGCACGGCAAACTTGACACCAAACGATATTTTGGCATATGCCCAAAACTTGCTACAAACTTCCTGAAAAATGATGTGTTATCTGGGCATCCAATAAAACTACAAAATTACCTAAGTTTAAGCACGGTGGGAGGAAATTTTTTTTTTTACTTTGATCACTTCACCTGATATCCTCCAAAATATATGTCATAGATTTGATTTTAACGATAAAAAAATACACATAGATAAGAGACGCGCATGAATAAGCTCTAAAATTAATTTGTTAGAATTTTCATTTGACAGAATTTTATTGCCTATAGAATTTGCTTATAGCCGAATTTTTAGTTTTTCGAATTATTATTTAACAGAAATTACATTTAATCGAATTTCTATGTTACAGAATTACAGAATTTTATAGACCCACTTCACTTTTTCGTATTTAAAAATATAATTTTTCATTAAAAAGTTTGTCAATAAAAATATGAGTAATTTTATTTTTAACTATTTTAATCACTTAAAAGTTCTTTTTTTTACATCACTGATTTTTTGTTAATTAAAAACGCAATTTTCGCGCATTTCTGGCAATTTTTACTCCAGAAATAGTAAAATTTACTCCTGAAATAGTAAGAATTATTCCGAAAATAGTAAATTTGACTATTTTTGGAGTAAAAATTGCCAGAAATGCACAGAAACTGCGGACAATTCCGGTTATATACTTTTAAAGTAGTAAACGTTACTTTATTCGTTTTTCAATTTTTCTCCGTGTATCCAAATTTTGATAAGCAATATTAAAATTTTTAATTAAAATATTTAATTAAATTTAGTTTTATAAATTTATTTCATTAAAAATAAAAATTTTTTAAAAACATTTGAAAAAATTACGATGGCAGAGAATATAATTTCAATGCGAGTAATGTAAGTTATTGATTATAAAAATATGAAAACTGCAATGTGTCTGAACTGAAAGAAAAATTATCAAAAATTTTAAATTATAATTTTTTAAATATTTTTCTTTGCATTAAAAATCAATTTTTTAAGTTTGAGGTTATGTTACTGTCACCATTCTCCTTAAAATATATACAATTTCAAACTGTTAAGACTTAAGAATGATGGACGCCCTAACTTAACCTCAAAACAGAAAAATTGTTTTTAACGCAAACAAAACTTTGTTAAAGAATTAATTTCAAATAATTTTAGAAGATTTAATTATATATACTTTTCGAAAAAATTATGATGAGTTAAAATCTTTTGTTAAATTTTTTTTTTAACCTTTTTAATATTTTGATTTTTTTCTTTCACAACAGACAAAAATCGCATAATTGTTAAAAACAATAATATTTTATCCATGTGAAACAATACCTATACAATCGTATACTTTTTTCAGTTATTAAAAAATTATTTAATAAATAAAATGTTTGTTTTATAATTTTTTAATAATTAACATACTTTTAACGATCTCTCTAAATCTGAATTAGTTAAAAATAACTAATTAATAGTAGAATCTTACTAATTCAAAAAGCAAAAAGTGAGTCACTAATAATTAGTAAAAACTTACTAATTCAAATAGTTATTTTGGTTTAACTAATTCAATTAGTAACTTTTTAATGCGGCTCCCGGGGGCGCAAATTACTAATTGATTAGTTAAAACTACTAATTGTTTACTAATTCATTAGTCATTATACAATTTTACCGCCAAATCGTAAATAATCAATAAAAATTTATCAACTTATTAATACTAAAATTTTAAATTTGAAAAGTCGAGTTTCAAAGATAAAATTTTTCGCATGTAGTTTCTTCATGATTGTATAAAAAATATTTTATTTTTAAAAGTCCGTTTTCATGGGTTAAATTGCATAATATTGGAAAAATTCATATAAAATTTTTTACGTTCTGGTGGTTCATTTGATATATTATTTCCGATTTTTTTTGAGTAAAGATTTTATTAAAATTTTTACTTTATAGTAATTTATTAATTTACTTAAAGACAGTTTAGATACACATACATAGTTACTTTTGGTGAAATAAAATTAATAAAAAAATTTTAACGGTTAGTTTATATCAAAAAATTTTTTGAAAAATAAATAATTTCAAAAGTAATATTTAAAGCACCAAACAAAATATTTTGAACATAGTACAAGCTATAGTATCACATAATACTTCAAAAAAACAGAACAATAATTTAAAAATAATAAATGCTTTCAAAAGTAGTATTTTAAGCATCAAACAAAGTATTTTGAATAGAGTACAAGCTATAGTTTCACATAATACTAAAAAAACAAAAAAATATTTTTAAAAAAAACCCATGGAAGATGACATACGTCATAAAAATAATAGAGGTTACGTTCAACTGACTAATTCAATTAGTAACTCGGGTGTAATAACTAATAGAATTAGTTAATTTGATTACTATTTTAAATTAGTAATGTTCAAATACTAATTTTTTACTATTTTATTAGTAAAACTTCCAAACATAACTAATTCATTAGTTGAAATTTAATTTACTAAATGAATTAGTTAATTTTTTACTAATTCAGATTTAGAGAGATATATTGAAAAAAGTTTACTTGGAGAGTGTTTTTCAAATGAATAAAATAATGTTTATTTAAATTGAATAAAAATTGCGCTTTTTGTCTATGTTCTGAAAGAAAAATGTTAAAAAAAGTAATTAATTTAACAAAAAAATGTTAACTCAACATATTTTCAAAAAATGTATAATTATAAATTGTCTTAAATTGTTTGATATTAATTTTTATTTTGTTCGCGTTAAAATCATATTTTTTTTCCAGTTTTGAGGTTATGTTAGCGCTTCCATTCTCCTTAAATTAAATTATTTATACACTTTTCTCACACATCATCAATTCAAAGTAAAATTTCGTAATAAATAACAAGTCTCCTCATATAAAACAGGTATTTTTAAGACGAGTAAAATTGAATAAAGCACATAATAACAGAAATGGAACCCTTTTATTAATCAATAACAATGAAAGTATTTGATAAAGAAAACAGGTTGAGGTTAGAGATGGTGGGGTGTTATTTTTATTTTTTTTTTTCGTCTCTAATAATCTGTCGCGGGCATAACATTCGTCTTCGTCCGTCACTGTTCGGCAATGGGGCGCATGCGCGATTCTAACCAGCTGTGCATGCAGCAATGGCGAGCGTCCCTCGCCCTGCACCCCGCGCAAACGTGTTGGAGTACTGTGGCCAGGCTGCTCCTCACGTCATCCAGACAGACCCGCGAGGAGGAGGCGAGGAGCTCCTAACGAGCTAATATGGCGGACCTCGAGGCCCCGTCCGGGCTGGCCCTTGTCCCGGGCGAAAAGATCCTCGTGACCGTCGGGTCGGCACTGCCGGACATCATCGTCGTCATCTTCGAACACGGAGCCAAGACCTTCCAGGGTGCCTTGCTTGACGCCACCAAGAGGTAAGCCTCTCATACAAAAAAAAAAAAAAAATATCCCTCTCGAGAAATTCACGCCTGATTGCCTACACTCTCGACGACTTGACTTTTCCCGTCTGGCGTTGTTGTCGAGGATATGTCTAAACTTCTTCACATCTTACCCTCTGCAAAAGGTACTCCTCCTTAATCCTGACACGAAAACAAAAAAATGAATTTTTTTCCCACCGTTTTAAAGCTGGACATTCTTCCGGTTTCAAATCGTCTCTTGATTTCACTTTATGCAAAAAAAAAAAAAAAAAATATTGTGATCACAATAAATGATATCAAATAGAAAAAAAAGTGCCACTGTGAATAGTGAAAATTTGGAAATTATTCACATGCTTCAGTGTTGGAGCTCTCTGCAACTATCCGACGGCAAACAAGTCAGCAAATAAGATGCTTGTAACATTTTTCTTTTGGATGAAAAGCTTTTTGACTGTTATATTAGAAAAAAAAAAAAAAAAAACTCAAGAAAGGAAAATTTGAAAAAAATGAACATTTTGTTTTTGTGCAATTTTGAGAATTAATGTAGGATGTCTATTTCTGTGATGCTGATGTTCGTATACACAAGCAAAAAGGTTGTGTGGGTTTCACAACATGAGATCTAGTACAAAAAAAAGAGCCTTTAATGACTTCTCAGAATGAATGTGTGTAGTTTCACTTATACTATGGTGTAATTTGTTCCTATTGATCTTATATCAAAGAAAATGATCCTTATCAAGAGAAATAAAATTTTGGAAAAAAAAGAAAAAAAATTGAGACAAAAAAAAAAAGTAAATTTTATTCTTCTAATAACCAAAAGTAAACTAAAACTAAATAACTGAAAAATAAACATGAAAATAATTTTAATATTGTCTAATCATTTGCGATTATCAATATATTCGATCAATCTCCAAAAATTTTAGAAACTTATTCTTTTTTACTTGAAACATTTTTTTATCTACAAGAAAAGTAAAGTGATATATATTTTTTTTTTGCTTTTTAAACAAAGTTAAAGTTTTATTTTCACGTGACTTGTTGAAAACTGGTAAAATTCATTCGTGAAATGAAATTGAATTGAATTTGCTTCATTAAACACTTTGTGCCGATGAAAGAAAGATTTGCCAGGATAATGCACTTATTGAATGAAATATTCATTGGACCGACTAAACGATTATTTTCTTTTGTTCAAAATTATTAAATTGCAACAAATACCAAAACAATTTTCTAATACATATCTATTGAGCAAAGTGATTATAAAAGCGAGAATAATATTTTTACTTAATATTTGTGCAACCAAATTTGTGGTTGACCTAATAACATTTTTTTTTTTTTTTTTTCTCTAAATCTGAATTAGTTACACGGAGAAAAATGGAAAAACGAATAAAGTAATTTTTACTACTTAAATAGTAAAACAGCAACTGTCCGCAGTTTCTGCGCATTTTTACTCCAGAAATAGTAAAATTTACTATTCCCGGAATAATTTTTACTATTTCAGAAGTAAATTTTACTATTTCTGGATGAAAAATTGCCAGAAACTGTGGACAGTTCCGGTTTTACTTTTAAAGTAGTAAAAGTTACTTTATTCGTTTTTCCATTTTTCTCCGTGTAAAAACTTAAAAATAACTATTTTTTTTAGTAAAATCTTAATTTGACTTTTTGCTTCAGTAATTAGTAAAAAGTTACTATTTTTTAATGGAAAAATAAATGAAAAAAATAGTAAAATTTGACTAATTGAATTAATTACCAGAAATTTTCGTTATAATATTAAATGATCCAATTGTTCTATAACATTGATGTCTCTTTGGAATATCAAAGAGTGAAACAAAAGGAATTTTTTGGTTCATAAGTCAGTTAATTTAGACATTTGAACTAAATAATTTTTTTTAATTAAAAAAATATGAAAAAAAATGTTATTATATTTTAAGCGTCTCCTTATCTTGAGTTTTTACAAAAAAAAAAACCCAACTCAATTATCTTTAACCGTTTAAAAGATATGTCCATTTAAACAATTTTAAGCAACTTTAACTTTTTAAATAAACAATTGTTTTACTTAAAAAGTTGATTTTCTAAAAGTTTAAACTAACAAATTTAATATTTTATAATTTTAAAAATCTATTTTTATTTTGAAAAATTTAATTTACGATTACTGAAAAAAAAATAAATTAAAAAAATAAAATTTTGAAGCTAATTTACACTGCACAACAGAATTTCAACAGTTTTATGTTTTCCAAAATGTTACAGGCGATTCTTATATAGGATTTTGTTTGTAGAATTTGAATCTGACCTTGAAAATATTGGATTGCATCTAGTTTTCGAGTAAAAATTAGATTTTAAAGTGAAAAAACGTATTTTTGGTTTTTTTTGAACGTCTGTAAAAAACAAAATAGCGAGATAAAAAAAAAATAAGTAGGGGGCCCTTTATGTTCATTTCATGCACATTTTGCTTCCTCATTGTGTGAAGCAAAAAATTTGCTTCCTCGTGAAGGAAGCAATAAATTTCTTTAACTCATTTGATTGATTTAAATTAATTTTGAGTAAAACATATACTTTATATATATACCATAATCGATTCGTTTCATTGCAAGGAATACAATTATTTTATATGTATAAACTTTAATTTAAACAAACAAAAATTTTTTTAGCTACAATGTAAATTTTTGATTTTTTAATTTTCATTAATTCTTTAAATTTAAATCAAATTTATACTTTATGTATATATATATATATATATATTTTTTTTTATTGGAAACAAATTTTTGGACAAAAGACAATAAAATTTTTCTTGGGTTATTTTTTAAAATCTTATAGTGTCCATTTTGAGATATTAATGTGATAAATAAGTCTTTATATACCAAATTTCTATATAGAGGAAAATTTGTTTCGACTATTTTTAAAAATTTTATAAACAAAAAGACTACAAAGCTTCCTTCACGAGGAAGTAAAATTTCTTTCATTTCATTCTTTCATTTCGAAGTTCGATAGTTATAAATTTTTTAAATCATTAAATTTTGGAGACTTTTTGACACTCATTATATAATTAAATAAAAAGTCATTTAAAAATAATCGTAAATACAGTTGATATGCAAGCATTACTGTGAGTGATATATATATATATATATATATATATATATATATATTATTTACTGAGGAAACCCCTTCAAGTATTATTGCGCGAATTGAAACAAAAGAAACACTAATCTTAGAGGTTATGTTTCACGAAGAGATGCACAGTAAAAATATTTAAAATTCGCAGAGTAATATCTAATGCAGTAAAAAAATATTTCTATTAATTACTGTTTTAAGAAATATAAATTGAAAATTAATAAAATATGGGTCAATTAATATATTTTTAAAACATATTATTGTAGTGTATTCTTGCACGGAAAAAAATTTTCTGTAGAATTAACAGAAACTCCTGCGCCATCTACTGATGTTTCTCCAAATAGAGAAATATGTAGAATCATTGGCATTAAAATCTGTTAATTCTACAAGTTTGAGCTACAGTTCTTAAAAACTGTTGAGTGACCAAATTATGTATACTATATGGGGATAATATATATTTGGTAGAGTATTTCTTATAGGTTATATTCTCCTCCGAATACATTAAATTCGCGGAACATTATTGTATAAATTAGTATAACTTCTATGTAAATAAATTCATCCTTCAATAATTTTCTAACAAAAAAAATGAGGAGCAAGTTTTCAAAACTTATGATAAATCCACTTTTTCTTATGTCGAGAAATTGAAACAAACGACTTTTCTCACTTAATCACTACAGTTAATTTTAAAATAAAAAATTTGTAATAATTTATTTCTATAATAATGTTTATATACTTAAGACGTTTCCTTTTTAATTAAACTTTCTTGCCGACACTACGATAATAATAAAAACACTAAATTCGCCTTAACCTCTCGCACTCAATCGTACTCAGCCTTAGTCGAATCACTGCATTGTTTTTGCGCATGCGTTAAATCCTTGCAGAAAATATCTGTAGAATTAACAGATTTAGGAACATGTAAAATCTCTAAATCGACGTTAAAGAATTACCAGAAAATTTTTTTCCGTGTGTAAATATAATATCAACATATACTAATTTAAAATTATCGAATTAATACAAAAATATCAAATTGATATAAAAATTTGTATCAACACTGTAAAAACTGGCCGTCTTAAAAGTGCAAAAAAACGTCTTGTTTTAAGACGTTTTTCGCGTCTAAGACACCAAATGTGTCTTAAAACAAGACGTTTTTTGCACTTTTAAGAAGGCTAGTTTTTGCAGTTAATTTGATATTTTCAGTACCATTAATTTGATACTTTTAAATTAGTGTGAATGATTTTAAATATAAACATTAATTTTTTCGTTTTGAATTAGTTAAATTTTACTAATTCAATGGTTACTTTTGATATATGTTAAGAAGAATAATTATTCGATTATAATTTTATTTTCAATATTTTATAACTTGTAGTTTTTTCAAGATTATAACACTTTTTATTTATTATTATTATTATCTATATATAGAAACTGCATAAAGAAAAAGATGATTAATATAAAAAAAAAAAAATATGATACTATCAGTGAAAAATGTGAGGCATTCCGTTGCATTTTATATTTTGAAATTGACAGTGCAAATTTCACTTTTAAAGTGGTCCATTTCCTTTGAGGCGAATAATATTCTAAGGAAAAATTTACAAATGACCAACTTTGAATGAAGGCGACAAACAAAAGCAACCACTTGTATGGTTTTGAGATGCAAAACAAAACACGCGTATTTTATGGGTAATTAACCATCAAAACCTTTAGCAATTACATTATTTCCGCTTCGAATTATTTAACATGTGCATTTTTTTTATTAGCCTCATTTATTTATTCTTTCTTTATTTATATATTTATATTCTTTTACGCAAGTGCCTCTATATATATATATACATATATATTTAAAAACCCATCGAAAATTAACTGAGATAAATAAACAAACGACAACTTATTTTTTTACCATTTTT